TATCCAGGACACTGAGGCCCACATGCCAGTACTCCCTACCCTAATTCTTGCCTGTCAGTAGCTGCCTCGGAGCTCAGACAGGACATTTCCTGACATTGGTGCCAGTGCTGATGCCTCAAGTCTGTATACCTAGTGTTATGGCTAAAAGACTCATAAACGCTGCTCTAAAGCATCCCCAGATGTGTGCAGTCCCCATTGCCAACAGCTCAAGTAACAGAGGGGCAGTAAAGCACAGCGATGTCACCAGGCTGCCTACACCAGACCATCAGAACCCCCTGCAGGTCACAGCCTCTCAGACCCGGCCGTACCAATGGAGCACAAACATAAGCAAAATGGTGGTCAGGCGGGAGGAGGGGTGAGAGGAGACAGCAAAGAGAGGTTAAGAACAACCGTAAAGTTTAGACCTGAAAAAGAGGGGGAAGTCTATCATTTTCCAAAATGGGGACAGATGCAAAGAGAAGAGGCCCAAAAAGACGGGAAGCAGACAGGAAGAGCACGGCCCCGGACTCGTCAGCCAGGTGGCTGTCACACATCCAGGGGAGCACCCAGCAGGCAGCGGGACACGGAAGTCCAGGGACGAGGCCCCGCCCAGGAACGAACGTGGGGGCCGTCGGCCTCCAGTCCAGCTGAGATCTCCAGGGTGGCCACCAATAGAGCAGCACCCGAGGGGGGCTCTACAATCAGAGGGAGCTCAGCAGAGGAAACTGCACAGGAGGGAGAGCGTGGTGACCTGCAAATCAAGGTCAGAAAGGCTCCCAAGGAGCAGAGGAGAGGCCGATAAGACCAGGGCTGAGAACGCCCCTTGGACCTGGGAACCTCCCGTGGTGCAGAAATGGCACGCTGCCTTTCCTGCCCGACGCTTAGCACAGCCGCACCGATCCGCAGGGTTACTCTGCTCCCGTAGGCCTTTTCCTGATCTGAGGTAAGCAAGTTCCAAGGAAGGGGGTGGCCCGGAAGTCCTACCCTTCACTGTGATTCCAGGAAGGAGCCCCACGGTGGCTCAAACTTGCAGAACAAAGGACTGTGGAAGCCAAGTAGGAAGGTCCCTCTTTCCCCACAAGGCAAAGGCCGCACTGCCCAGCACTGCCCGGAAGGCCAATCTGGACAGCACCCCCCCAATGACAGGAGGCCTGAAGGCAGCCATCTTCGTATCCCTTCTCCCCATCTTCACTCTCGGGCCTCTCCGGGTCCCTGGTAGCTGCCATGGCCTGTCTGGTTACACTGGACCATTTGTTGTACCCGCTGTGGGCAAAGATGGCAATTTCCTCCCAAAATCCGGCACCCCCTTCTGGAGTAGCGGTGGCTCTGAAAGGGAGCATGCATTACAATTACCAGAAGCATGTGCTAGAACACGGCTGGCTGTGACCCGGCCCCACGGCTTCTCCAGGGGGCCTGGGCGGCAGCCTGAGGACCCGTGTTTCTAACAAACGCCCAGATGGCGGTCCTGTCAGCCCGGGCACCATGCTCTGAGAACCACCGGTTTAGTGTGATTCTCGTAGCTGCCATCCTTGGTCATTTCTGTTCCCATTTAGAAAATCTCCCTGAAATCATAACGTTAAGCCGAGAGAAACTGACTGACTTTTCAAAATGTTTCTGAAGTTTGAAAAGATAGCTGAAAGCGACATCTCAACCTTTCCTACAAATGGCAGCCATGTCCATGTCAGGCTCAGCGGGAGAGAATCCGGCCTGGTTACTAAAGTCACAGGTGTCCCACGTGCCCGGGGCAAACCACAGGCAGTACCTGCCACTCGCTGGACCTATTTCTTAATTAAAAGTCACGACGGCCACTCCTTGAGCACTCACTCGGGGCCGCTCGTGGGACAAAAGCGTTCCACATCTATCATCTCTTAATTTAGAACAATCCAGGGTGGAGGAACCACAGTGCCCATTTTGCAGATGAGAAAATCACAAAGTCACTGGCCCAAGGTTATACAGATAAGGAGAGGTGACGCTGGAAATCAAACCCAAGTCCGCAAGCCCGACGACCATGGTGCATGTACACACCTGTCTCCCCACCCCCTCCCCGGGCTTCACCAGGGCGCCTCGAGGCATGCCGGCCCAGGCACCCGGCACAAGACCTGGCCTCAACACGGTCGGGGACCTGCGGGGGCTGCATGCTCATCCTCCCGTTTCCTGTTGTTCAAGGTGGACTGGTCCCAGGAAAGAGATGACGATAACGGCAAACCCTCTCCAGCCCTCATGACCTTCAGCACATGAGGTACATTCACACATTTCATCCTCACCCCCCGCAAGGCTGGTACGATTATTCTCCAAACCCTAAAGTGCAGGAGGCGGCGGCTCTGGAGGTTAATTAAGTGACTTTGTCCACACAGCCAAACAGGGCCGGGCTGGGATACAGGCTCTGACGGTCTTGACTCCAGAGTCCATGCTCTTAAATCATGACGTGGTGGCGCTTCTCCCCGGTAATAAAAACATTCTTAAGAGAAGGGGAGAAGGACCTGGAATTTCCTAACCCTGGCACCGTGGGGTCACAGGCCTCGGCAGTCAGCGCCAGCCCCGGGCCCTCTAACGGGCGTGGGCGGACATCTGTGGCAGCACCAGCTGCTGTACCCCACGGCAGCAGGCACCGGGCCCGGGACCCTCCCAGGCCTGGCCGGCCCGGGGAGGGACGCACGGGACGGGAGCTCAGAGGCCCAGAGACACAAAACGCGAGCAAACAGGACACGGGCAGGATTATATGACTCATGGCGGCACAATTACATCCTTTATTATTGATGGCTGGGGCCAGATGGCCCTCTTTTCTGCGGTATTGTGTTACCACATAATTAGTGGACCTAGTCACTTCAGTTCACAAAAATCCTTTAGGATCAAGAACATGATCCATTAAAAAAAAAAAAGGTATGACAAAACAAAGAAATTCAAATATGATGTCAGCGATATTAAGAATCATGGGAAATCTACTTAGGATAATGGTTACTTTTTGCAAAGTGTGAATTTCTTTAGAAATTCTTAAACACCTTAGCTCTTCAGTTTTTAAGAAATTTGTACCTGAGCTTTGCATACAAACTCCTCAAATTTTAATTGAATGCTATTGTAATAAGCCTACACAGTGAGTGATTCAAAGTCAAAATGTAACAATCTGTACAAACGAATTCCCACACTGATGTACTTTGGGAGCCTCCTGGGTCCAGACGATGGCTCTGGGGGACAGGAGACAACATCCAGAACTAATCTAGTTTGCTGAGGCTTAGAAAACACGAAGTAAGCGCGCGTCCACCGCGTGGCTCGAGCCAGCGCCCCAGCATGTGCTCACCGCCTGGCCCCCACGCCGCACCGCTGGCCCTCACACGCTTAATCCCCGAAGGGCCCGTCCTTGGCACCCGCACGGCCACAGCGCCGGGCCAGTGCCACGCTCCCTCCTCTGGACTCGCCCGGGAGCCACATTCCTGCCAGGGTGACACCATCACAGCCCCATCACAAGTAAGACCCTCCGGGGGTCCCCACAGCCTCCAGATACGTCACATCGCACCGGCCCCACACACAGCCCCCCTCACTGCTCCCTGGGCCTGTGTTGCCACCGCCCCTTAGTGCAGGCCGCCGAGACGCAGGGGGCAGCGATGGCCCTGGGGCTAGGTGCCAGCTCTGCCCAAGTCACCGAGCCTGTGTCTAAGTGCTTCTTCGGCAAACCGAGGACAGTAATAGTACCTTCTGGAGAAGGCTGTTAACATGTGTTAAGTGAACTAGAAACCCAAGTGCTGACTCACCTGAAACAGGCACAGAGTAATCACTTGGTTCATAGTCCCTATTATTAATAACTCCGTCACACCTTTGAACTCAACCTTGTGTGCAGCCTTGCCCAGCAGGCCCTGCCCCCACGCACCCCCGTCCCACTCCTTTCCACCCCTGCCCCAGAATCCTCTCCTCACTTCAGGGGCGCTCTCAGGGAAGGTGCTGTGTCACTTTTCTAACCCCAGGGCCACGCATGAGGCCCCGTACTTACTAGGCCCTCCAAAGTATTTTCTGGGGGCGCCTGGGTGGCTCCATCGGTTAAATGTCCAGCTTCAGCTCAGGTCATGAACTAACAGTTCATGAGTTCGAGCCCCGCGTCGGGCTCTGTGATGATAGCTCAGAGCCAGGAGCTGCTTCAGATTCTGTGTCCCCCTCTCTCTCTGCCCCTCCCCTGCTCATGCTCTCTCTCTCTGTCTCTTTCTGTCTCTGTCTCTCTCTCAAAATTAAATAAAGATTTTTTTTTTAAAAAGGTATTTACTGAAAGACTGTCGATGGACACCAAACCGAGGCTGGAGAGGCCAGCCTGCCAGGGGCAGGGTTACAGCACCAGGCAAATGGCAGATATTAGGAAGGCTGGGACTCAGAGCCTAGGAGAGGACATAGGCCATCACAGTCAGAGCTTCCCAGGCCACAGAGACCCCACCCCACCCCCAACTGAGTGCAGGCACAAACCTTTGAAAAGATAAGCACACGCATCCAGCTGCTGGCATCGCTGCCCGCACGGGGAAGGAGGCAGCCCGGTGGTGATGCGACACCGCAGGCCTGGCCTGGCCCGAGTCCCATGCCCTCCCCTGACCTCAGACACGAAGGCAGCTTCCGAGCCAGCCCGGGGAAGGGGATCGCCCTACAGGTGGCTGAACGATGGCCCTCGCGTCCCTGGCCGAATCAGCACCGGAAGGATTACGCTGCAAGAAATCCAGGGGGTCAGCAGGGGAGAATGCTTTAATATCAAACACAATTAATACAAGTTTGACAATCAGCACATTTAGGACTATTGACGGAAAAACTGATTAAATTGGGTTCTAAAGATCCGGAGCCCCGCTATCTCTTTCCTATACGCGTGCTGTGAGCTACAAGAAATGAAAAAGGTTAAAGTCATCAACATTCTGAAGACAGACTTACATTTCAGGAACTTGGCAGGCAGGTTAACACAAAGTTTTCCAATTTCAAAGCCTCAATAAAGGCCACTTTTGCAAGCTTCATAAACATATGCTATGCAGCATATTTCTGTGTTTTTGTATCTTGTATACCTTTTGTATTTTCTTTGAATCTTTCTGAGCATTCTCTCGGAGTGGTACTTTTCCAAATAACTTCCATCCCAAGTCATTCTGTTTGTCAAGTCTTGCATTCTGTTTTCTAGCAAGCAAATTCCTATAGGAAGAAAATAAGAGGGTTAGGAAACTTGTGGGTATTTACAAAAATACCAGGACAACCGAGTCATTCTCTGATGAAAACAAGCAGACTTTCCTCTGAGAGAACACTGTGATGAACTACAAGCTTTCGTTCTTCAGATGTGATTTTCCACGTAAGACACAGAAATTATGCAGCAAGGAAAAAGCCCTTAAGCTTTTTGTTTCTCAAACTGTTACAGGCACATATTCTATAACTTAAAGTTCAGGAAATACCTTACACTATAACGTAGTATGTAACAAAAGTGACTTTCAAAGTCAGACCAAACTGAATGGAAACTTGGCCTCAACCACTCACTAGCTGTGTGACTTTGACCAGTTTGTTAACCCTCCTAAGCTTCAGTTTTCTTGTGTTTAACAAGGGTCTTTGGAGGAATTAAAATTATAGGTATACAATCAGCGCTTAAAAAAATAAGAGCTGCAAGGGGCGCCTGGGGGGGCTCTGTCGGCTGAGCATCCGACTCTTGGATTCAGCTCAGGTCACGATCTCACAGTCTGAGAGATCGAGCCCCGTGTCAGGCTCTGTGCTGACAGCACTGAGCCTGCTTGGGACTCTCTCCCTCTTTCTCCTCACCTCTCCTGCTCATGCTACTTTTCTCTCTCTCTCTCTCTCTCAAAATAAATAACCTTTAAAAAATAAAAAAGGAATTCTGTTAAAAATTATTAAGAGCTGCTTTAATAATTAACCTCTAGCTCAGTTTAAATTACCTATGGTGGGGGCACCTGGTTGGCTCAGTGGAGCACACACCTCTCACTCTTGGGGTTATGAGTTTGAGCCCCATGTTGGGTGTGAAGCCTACTTAAAAAAAATTTTTAAATAAAAAAAAAATTATAAGACAAATGTTGCCTATTTATAGGCATTTATTTTTTTAATTTTAATTTAAATAATTTAAATAAAAAGTTTATTTAATTATAAAACAAAATATTGCCTATTTATAGTCTCCACCTATAACAAAAAGAAAGTCCCTCAAGAGATAGTCACGAGGTCTTCTGTCCCAACAACATGTAAACAAAAGTCCCAAATAACAGAAATAAATCCCAAATGGTAGTACAAAATAAATTACATTCTGGAAGGTGGATTCATTCAAAACATATGGTTTCTAGGGCTCACTGGAAAGTATAAGATGAACCCGCAGCACCTCGGGTGCTGGAAAGCAAGAAAGCACTCAAAGAAATGTGGGGACACGTCTGAAGGGAAGAGCAGCCAGCCTCAAACAAGGGTTCCTGCTGGCCGGATCTGGAACAGTCTCATCATCGAGGTAAATAATGAGAGCAAGGGACTGTAATCCCTTGAATAAAACAAAAATCCAAGTGTCCATACGGATCTAGACAAGTGGAGGAGGAGGAGGAAGGAAAACTGTCCCGAACAAGCACAGGAAGCCTGATGGAGGCAGGAAAGGACCGATGGCGCTGACTGGGGCGGGGGGGAGGGGGGGATGGAGGAGGGGTTGGGGGCGGACAGCTGCAGGAGGAAGATTTCCCGCAGATGGAAAGTACAGCCTGCAAATTACTTGTCAATGACAAGTAACTGTCAATTACAAGTAATCCTCAGGCAAGTGCTGGAAGCCCATTCGCAGCTCAGAGGAGACAGCACAGGCCTGCTGCCCGAGGTGCCAAGAACAGCACCCCATATGGATGGCAGTAGACAGACAGACAGACAGACAGACAATCAGAGAAGATCTCTGAAACCACCAACAAAACGTGAGAGCGGACCGTGGACCAGGAAACAGCACAGGGTTCGTGCTGAATCTCCCGACCTTGATAACTGCAGGGTGGATACGGGAGAGAATGCCCTTGTCCTCAGGGAATATACAGATATATTTGAGGGGAGGGGCCTGATATGTCCAGCTGATTCTCCTAATGCTTCAAAGAAATACTTATTTACTTTATGGCACACAGACCACACTCACAGACCAGATAGACAAATGAACTATAAAGTGTGCCTGGGTAAAGAATACGCAGAAGTTCCCTGTGTTTTTCTAGAAGCTTTTCACTAAGTTTGAAATCATGTTAAAATAAAGTTACAGGGGCGCCTGGGTAGCTCAGTAGGTTAAGCGTCCGACTTCGGCTCAGGTCACGATCTCGTGGTTCGGGGGCCCCCACATCAGGCTCACTGCTGTCAACGTGGAGCCTGCTTCAGAGCTTCTGTCTCCCTCTCTCTCTGCCCCTCCCCTATTCCCACGTGCACGCACTATGAAAAATAAATAATGCATTAAAAAACTAAATAAGGTTATAAAAACTTGCAAAAAAAAGCAAACAAATGCTTTCACTGTATTCTTCCCTGCTTTTCTGTTGTGGTTATAACAGAATCCATTTCAGAAACCCTTTCACAGCCCAAGGCAATTCTGTACATACCTGTGTAAGAAAGAAACTTAGAGCTATCCCCAGGCCCAGAGCCACTGGCGAAACACACGCGGTTCAAAGCGGGCTAAAACATCAGGCACCCAGGACGCTAAGAGCTTGTACATCCAGAATGCGGCTCACAAAGAGCTGACATTCTGCTAAGAGGAGATGCCTCTGGAGAAGGGGACTAGGCACAAGGGACGAAAGCTGAGGAACCCCAATGCACTGGGAAGGGGCGGGGCCAGTAGTGAGTGGTACACCTCCTGATGAACCTCGACCCTACTGTGGAGGGATGCATGTCACTGAGGGTCTGGGGGGACAAGGAAGGGAGTGGAAAACACACAGAAGCGACTGGGCAACCTGTGGTCCAGGAGGCAGAGTGTGAATGTGATCCCGGTCACCGAGACGGGCCAACAGGAACAAGAGGAACAGAGACCTCGGCCCGTCCGTCCACTGCGACAACCATGTAAATCTGTGCCAACACAGTGCAGATAAAACTTACGAAAATCATGACTCAGGACAGGCCATGACTTACCCGAGGTATCTTTGGCTGTATGACTTTTATGGACGAGAGGGTGAGGACCTTTGAATGGACAGGAATCCCTCCCTAGCTCCGGCTGTTTGTGTCACTGGCATGGGTAACAGGGAGCCTCTGGCCCCCTTGCAGGTCGCTGGGTCATCGGGAGGCTGGCATGGATCTGGCTGCTGGGCCCTGTGGCCGCCCATCATGTGACCAAACCCCATTCCCGGGCCAGGTGCAGCGAGAGTACCCAGACAGGCAGAGAGAGTCCAGGCCCGGATGGTTCCCTTTACCACCTGTGTGGTCTTCCTAACCGGGCGGCGCCCTCAGGAAGCCACCGCCACAGAACCCTCCTGTCCCCTCGTGAGCCCTGTGCCACAGCGAGTTAGCGCTCATGCAATGGCCATAGCCAGGATCTGGGACACGTCACCGGGGGCAGAACCCAGGGACTGCTTGGTTCAAGCTTCCTGTTTTATCAACTACTCCCAACCCACCTGTCCCCCCGCCGTCTTCGGGAAGGACTCACGTCTGTCCGTTCCTGCACCCCCTCTGCACCCCCTCTGCACACCAACCCAGACCAGCTGCCAGCCGGCCGACCCAGGCCTGGGCTCCCACAGCAGCTATTTCTCCACAGCATCCACCCTGCTGTTCTGGGCCCGTCGGGCACGCGCCATCCCCTCCTCTCCACACACCTGTCCCTTGGGGTGGGGGCTGCTGGGGGGGCAGGGTAGAGTCTCCGCTGCATCCCCAGAACCCTAGCCAGCTTGCAGGAGGCACTCTACACAAAGAGAATAGCCACTTTGCTGGGGCGGGGGGGGGGGCGGGGGCAGAGCTGGGGAAGTAGAAAGGGACCACAGCCCACACACCCCCCAACCTGGGGCCAGTGCAGTGAACCACCTCTGAAGGCGGCAATGATGCCTAAGTGCAAGCTTCCACACATGTGCAAGGTGAAGGGCAAGTCCAGACGAATCAAGGCCCAGGACTAAGAACTAGACAGAGGTAAGCTCTGAGCAGGGGTAGGAGTCCCCCTGAAAGAAGGGGACATGGAAGATGGGGGGTGCTGGGAGAGGAGGGAGGAGGGGCAGAGCTGAACACCACAAGTGGCTTGCAGGTGGGGTGGCGGGGGTGCAGCCGCTGTGATGGCCCAGGGCAGCACCTGAGCACCTTCCAAGCAGGACACAGAACCAGTCATCAACACTGCCTTTTTGCTGCACCCCAGCGGAGGGCCCTTGGCCGGGAGGGCTAACTCCTTTGTTGGGGAGAAGGACTTACTCTACCCGCAGGGTAAGGACATCACCTGCTGACCTCAATCCAGTCTCTGAACAGCAGAAACCACACCGAAATGGGCCAGACTCTCACCTGAGCCGGAAGGGACTCAAACCAGCTAATAACCAGTGTTGGGCCCGGATGAGTCCTCAATCCGCAGGGCACAACGACACAGTCTAACCAAGCTGTCGGCATTGGGGTTCCCTGAGGGCCCCCCAGGCTCCAGATGCTGAATCCTGCCCGACCCACGCTCCCCCCCCCCCCCACCCAGCACACGCGAGAAAACCAACTTGGCACCTCTCACCCACACGCACCCCACCTGGAGCAGACTCGGCTCTCCTCCCAACGAGCCCCTTCCACCACGATGCCGGTTCCAGTCCTGCAGCTGGCGGGGCTGAGCCGTGGCTGAAGGGGCGGCACCGAAGCCTTTTCCAAAAACAAGGTGAACCCTATTTCTAGGAGGCTGATGAGGGCGTTCCACGCCCTCCTGAGCCTCATCGCAGGAGCACCCCTGCAGGCAGGCGGCCAGAGCAGAGACCTCTCAACAACCCACCAGGCCTCGTTCATCCGGTGAAGTTTTCTGAGGGCCTCAGCCACCCGGACACCACAAGCGGCAGTCTTATTTGCTCAGAAACCTTCGGTCTCCCCCCAGGTTAGCTCTGAAGCCCTCACCTGATTTGGCAAGGGTCTGGCCCCACTTCCCAGCCCTCCTCCTTGGGTCATTCGGGGCCCACCCACATCCAGGCGGGCACACAGCCTGTCATACTCCCCCCACCCCCGTGGGCTTCGCCACCCTTGCTTCAGGTGTCCCTCGGGCACAGGACCCAGACGGG